ATGAATTTCATTTAGTCTACAGCTAAAAGCCTTTGGAAGTACCCATCTAAGGCCTAAAACCAATTTCCATTTAGCTTCAATTTCTCTTTTAACGAGAAAAGGAGTTTCTGCTATTGAAATCACCTTGAAACTCATGGCATATTTCGGTCGATTTGCCTTCTCATCTCGACTCCTTTCTCCAATAAAATTTGAATCCAATTCTTTCATCTCCTCAAAGAAGTATAGAAAGTTTTTGTTCTATGCAAGTTTCACATTTATTAAGAACAAATACAAATAGAGCAGGGTTGCCAAATATAGCAAATAAAAATATCGGATGCCCAATTAAATGTGCATTTCAGATACATAACAATAATGTTTTAGCGTAAGTATCGCCTAAACATTGTATGGGGTATGCTGGAGTCCTGATATAGTACAGTAAACACTGGACTGCTAACCGCAGGTCCACAAGGTCAGCAGCTCAAACCCACCAGCCGCCCTTCAAATAATCTCTACAGGGTCACTATGAGTCAGAACCGACTTGATGGCACTTAACAGCAAAAAACACATTAAACATTATTTCTCATCTATCTGAAAGGCAACTGTAATTGGATTTCCTTATTTTAATTGAAAATTCTAAATCAGAATGTTCAAATAATTTGCATTCATAATTCAATAAACAGGTCAAATTTATTATGTAAGTTCACAGAAATGTTTTCTGTTTTCCAAAAGGTGGCCTCTTAGCTCACAGGGAAATTTTTGGGAAGTGAGGGGAGATTTTTCAGATGATCTGGTTGGAAGCCTTCTCATTTTTTTCCCCAGTCTGATGACTAGCAGCCTTTTGAATCCTGTTTGTACATCACCACAACACAACTGCAAGTTTTTTTGGTTTTTTTCAATTTTTAAAGTCATTTTTGAGATGTGGAGGTTTTCAGAGATACTGGATGTCTTATAAATAAATAAATAGCACTGCCTCACCCCAATCTTTACCAGTCTTAAAAGTGAAGCAAGACTTTGAATGCAGGGAAATGGACAAGTTACAGTGGACGAATTCTGCCTGTTTAATATTTACATCTAAAATTAAAGAACTTCTTAAATATTCTCTTTTTTAAAAATCAGGATAAAACAAAACAAAAAAGGCACAAAGGGAATACCATGTGAGTTGCCTCTGCCTTTAGCACTTGTTTTTCCCACTTTAACAAGTCTAACAAGTCTCAGCAAGTCTAAACCAGTGAGCCCAGATCCACCTCACAGCCAGACTCCTGCTTTACAATCCCATTCTCGTCAATGACCTACAGGCAGGAGCCTCAAGATGATATACTATTAAACCTGTCCTCTCACTGTTCCAATTTCCCAGCCACTATTCAATTTAATAATAAATAAGGAGCTCTGGTAGCGTAGTGATTACAAATTGAGCTGCTAACCTCAGGGTCAGCAGTTCAAAACGATCAGCTCTTCCGCAGGAGAAAGAAGAGGCTTTCTGCTCCCGTAAAGAGTTACAGCCTTGGAAACCCTGTACAGTGTTGCTATGAGTCAGAACCGACTCCATGGCACATAACAACAACATCATTCAATTTAATATCCATTTATTAAAGCAATGGGCCAGGTGATTGGTCCACATGATCAAGTTCTTCAGAGTCTGCTCCTTTGGGCAGATTATAAAAGCAAGACATGTATAATAAGGGCAATACACTTGATTACAAAGTTTGTGGGGAGTCCATTAGCAATGTCAGTAAAGGGCCTAGAGCATGGGCTAGGCTCTCAGAAATACTTAGCTCTGAATCCAACCTCTACCACAATTGTTGAGTGACTCTGGACCATGACTGAATCGCTCTGAACTTCATTTATAATTAACTAGCTCAGAGGACAAGGAGCTCTGGTAGCTTAGTGGTTATAAGTTGGGCTGCTAACCTCAAGGTCAGCAGTTTGAAACTACCAGCCATTCCCATAGGATAAATATGAGGCTTTCTGTTCCCATAAAGATTTATAGCCTCAGAAACCCTATACCGGGTTACTATGAGTCAGAACCGACTCCATGGCATATTACCACCACCACCACCACCACCTCAGAGGACTGCTGTTAAGTTTAAAATGAAAGATAATATGTAAAAGGTCTTATATAACATGAGATAAATCTATGAGCACTTAGGAAAAAGCAGAAATTATAAAGATACAAAATTTATAGCAACCCTGTATAGCATTTCCAAGGAGGGGCTGGTGAGCTTCAACCACCAACTTTGCGGTTCCAACCAGCTTTACAGCACATTAACTCTTAGCAGAACACCAGGACTCATATATGTGTATATATATGTATGTAAGTATGTGTGTGTATATATATATGCCATCCAGTAAGCTCCAACTTCAAACTTCATAATGACCCTATATAGAGTTTTCGAGAGCAGCCAGTAAGATTGAACCACTAACCCTGCAATTCAAACGACCTTGCGGTCCAGTGCATTATCCCACAGCACCACACCAGGACTCCTACACATCTCTCTCTCTCGATGTAGACACACACACATATATAATGTTGTTGTTAACTGTCATTAAGTTGGTTCCGACTCACAGCAACCCTGTATACGGTTTCCAAGGAGCAGCTGGTGAGTTTTAACCGCTGACCTAGCAGTCCAGTGCTTATCCTACAGTGCCACACCAGGACACCACAGTATAGTGTAAACATACTTTTATATACACTAGAAAATCAAAAAAAATTAGATGACTCACTTTATTGCTGTATTATGATATTCACTTTATTGTCAAGGTCTAGAGCCGAGTGGTGGTGGTGGTTATGTGCCATGGAGTCGGTTCCAACTAGAGCCGAGTAATGGTTCCTAAATCTGCATATCCACCTTCCTTTCTTTTTTTTTTTTAAGTTTCTATATGAAAATAACTTGTAGCCAGGGTGAAGAACAAGTTAGGAGTAAACTTACAGAATTTCTTTTAAGGGGATCTTATTGTCAACAAAGGAATCCTGGTGGCACAATGGTTAAGTGCTTGGCTGCTAACCAAAAGGTTGGTGGTTTCAGCCCACAGGTACTTTAAGGAAAAAGATCTGGCACACTGCTCCCATAAACACTGTTGTTGTTGTTGTCATTCATTGTCAAATGCCATTGAATCTGCTCCAACTCATAATGACCCTGTATAGGGTTTTTGAAAAGCAGCTGGTGAGTTTGAACTGCCAACGCTGCAGTTCAAACCAATCTTGGGTTTGAGTGCTTATCCTACAGCTCCATGCCAGGACTCCTCAATAATATAGCCTAGGAAACCCTGGAAATCTCTGCGTGTTACGATTGACTTCACAACTCACAACAATGTATCTGCAATAACGTTGGCCTCACTACCTGGGGTGGTGCTGTGGCATAAAGCACTGGACCGCAAGGTGGGTTTGAATCACAAGGTCGGCGGTTCAAACTCAACAGCCACTTCTTGGAAACCCTATATAGGACTGCTATGAGTCTGAACCGATTTGATGGCTCTTAAGAACAACAACAACACTACAATAGCATGCAGTTTATCTACTACACAATCACACTTTTCTAAAAATCTATATATAAACTTTCTTTCCAGTTGACTCAAATTTGCAATGCTAAAAAACTTGTTAAGTTTTGAACCAAAAGTCTAATCAAAGATTTTAGAATCAGAATGTAGGTGTCAAAGGGAATTTCAGAAGTAACAGTCTGTTTTAGAATATAAAAGTATATATGGTATAGGAACTACTTACTTATAGCCACTAAACTGTATAAAGGCATTCTAGGGTTAGAATCTATGTCTGCTGCATAGAAATCCACCAAGTGGATTTCTACATGCATCTATACTTGTATAGTGGGTTTTTAGTTTTGAAAAAGGAAACCTTGTTCCATTGTGTCTTCTAATTCTAGTACTGATGGTCTTTTTGAGTTGCAATAATTTTAACATGTTGTTGTTGCTGTTAAGTGCCATCGAGTCGGTTCCGACCCATAGCGACCCTGTATAAGGTTTCCAAGAGGCAGCTGGTGAGCTTAAATCACTGATCTTGCAGTTCAAATGGCTGCAGTCCAGCTCATTAACCCGCAGCACCATACCAGGACTCCCCAGCCAAATCATTAAAAAGCACACTCATTTCCATACTTCACAGTCTCCATACAGGAAATGGTGGTGGCGGTGGTTACATGATGTGGAGTCAGTTCTGACTCATAGTGACCCTACATAGGGTTTCTGAGGCTGAAAATCTTCATGGGAGTAGAAAGCCTCATGTTCCTCCCATAGCACAGTTGGTAATTTTGGACTGCTGACCTTGAAGTGAACAGACAGACTTGTAACCACTATGCTACCAGAGCTCCTTATTGAAATCATCTCTCATGGAAAAAAGGCTTCTCTTGTCACCGAATGGTGAACAGTTACCCTGATTAGCCTACTGCTATCATGCAGGTTAACACACTGTACTGCAAAGTCAGTTTGAACCACAAGGTCAGCGGTTCAAGCTCACCAGCTGCTCCTCAGAAACCCTATACGGGGTCACTATGAGTCAGAACTGACTCAACGGCACTTAGCAAAATCAGCAACAATCACTGTGGAAGCAGACTACTACATCTTTCTTCCACGGAATCAATGGTGGGTTTGAACTGCTGATCTTTCATTTAGCAGCTGAGCACTTAACCACTGTGCTACTAGGGCATCCATGGGGACTATAATGTTGCTGTTGTTAAGTGCCACTGAGTCGGTTCTGACTCTTAGTGATCCTGTGTAGGTTTTCTGAGGAGCAACTAGTGAGCTTGTAATGCTGCTCTTGAGGTTCAAACCGACTTTGCAGTCCAGCGCATTAACCCGCAGCACCACCCCACAAAGTATAGAGCCTTAGAAAGCCTACGGAGCAATTCTACTCTGCCCTATGGAGTTGCTATGAACCACAATCAACTCGATGTCAGCAGGATTTTTTGGATCATAGTCCCTCTACCCACATATTGTGTGAGCTAGCTGAAAAATAAAATAACACATCACTGGTTGATCATCTTAACAACAATTATATGAAAATATAAGCACCGTACCCATGCAAGAAGCAACAGATTTCTTTTCACCGTTCCACAATATCCTAACATCCCCACAATGATCAGGAAACAGCACACAGCAATCATAACGGGATGTACTACCGGAAAGTAAGTCAGGATGACAGCCTCCTCGACCCTGAAAGAAGATCAAAAGGATATCAGCAAAAAATACAGTCAAAATGCTCCCGAGCCATCGTACATGCCAAAATTGTGATTTTTATTGCTAAGTCTACATCATCAAACCTAAGAACTGGGATTGCTATTTTCAAAATACCTGTGCCAAATAAACAGGAGTTCATTTGCTTGCATGTCACATTTTTTATTTGGCTTGATTCATTTTTTATGTATAAGTGGTAGATTTGGATACATAAATGAGCCAAAGATGGCTTCTATGGACTGAAAAACCCAGGTTATTTCTTCATAACACGTTGGGTTTGCTTGTCCAAAAAGCCCACTCGAGCTAATCTTAAATGTTTGCACATCCAATTATTTTTAAACTAGTCCAAATAAGTAGATTTTTACCAATTAGAATCTGCCGGCTTTATAAACCCCATAACTACATTCAACATTTTCCAGCTCTAGATTAGCTATAACCTTGTGTTACAAGTGTTCCAGACTGCTGGTCTGCTCGGAGCTCTGGACACAGACTCTCCACATTGCTACAAAAGCACATTGCATAGGAATCAGTTTGCCCACCTCCCTTCTCTTTCCTGGGAGTTTCCTTCCCTCTACCAGTCCTGGTATGGTGTGTGGGATAAACACTGGACCACAAAGTCAGTTTGAATTACAAGGTTAACAGTTCAAATTCACCAGCTGCTCCTTGAACACCCTAAACAGGGTCACTATGAGTTGGAACCAATTTGATGGTACTTAACAACAATAACAACAACCAGTTCTGAGGGCTTTTGTGCCCCACTTGCCTCTGGAAGGCCAGGCCACCTGTTGTGGGGGGAGGGAGCTGCCCCATTCCATGTAGTTGTCAATGCATGGACCCAAATCCATGGTTTGTTGTGCAGAGTCACTATCTCTTTTCCTATGATCAGCACTTATCTCTCTTGAACTCACCACACATCCCTACTAACTCACTTAAAATACATTACAACCCCCTCTAAGACTGAAACTCAGAGGGAGCATATGAGCAGGCATGCAAGCTTGCTGATGACCACATTGGTCTACTGGTGAGTGAAAGAAGGGGAAAGGCAACAATGAAGAAATGGGCTGAGTTCAATCACGGTCCATAGACTCCCATTGACCTGGAGATGTGAGAGAGAAGAGGAAGGGCTGGTTGGTCCAAAGTGTGGTGAGACCTGGGGACACCTGAGCCCATGGACAAGGACATAGACACAGAGGGCTAGAACTGAGAGTGAAGCATCTAGCTGGTATGGAGTAAGAGGAGGCACACAAGAACAGCCAAAGTTGTTGACAGTACCACTTGACCTAGCCTCAGTGGCTTGATAATCAGAACTCGACTAGAGGAAGATTTTTTTATAAAAAGAACAAAACAATTTTTGATAAAGGAAATGCAGGTAAATAGCTACAGTTTGATGAACTTGACTTATACTCATGGAGGTTATTGTTGTTATGTGCCGTGGAGTTGGTTCCAACTCATAGCGGCCCTGTACAGGGTTTCTGAGGCTGTAAAGCTTTATGGGAGCAGAAAGCCTCATCTTTCTCCTGAAGAACAGCTGGTAGTTTCGAACTGCTGACCATGAGATTAACAGCCCAATTCGTAACCACTACACTACCATGGAGGTAGTAACTCTAAATACCAACAGAGAAGGAAGAAGTCTTCACATCAAGTATCAATGCTACAGATAGTGATGGGCAACTTAGACATTGGCTACCTAAAGTGAGGGAGCAATAAAGGCACAAAGAGACTGGCTGACAAGGTTTCAAGGGGGAGTTTAGTTTAATAGTATGTGGGGGAAGAAAGAGTCCCCACTGAATAGTTCTCATCTTGTCTAGATGGGTCTGATGAAAAGAGATGGGGATAAGATTCTTATGATTCAATAGTGAATAACTGTTATCATGACTAATTGCGACTGTCACAATTGTAAAGGTAGAAGTTTTGTTAACAAAAACAGAGGAGTAGTTAATTTTATAGTCCAGAAATAAAGGACCTTAGTACCATCAAGGGAGAAGAGCACAAGCGGAATGCGAAACCCTCTCCAGAAAAGTAGCAACACCAGAGATGGAAGCAGAGATGGGGACATGGAGAGAGGGAGCAACTGAGGACTCTAGATTCATGGAAAGAGAAGGACTGAGAGCTGGCAATCAGGCGGCAGACTTGCAGAATGTGCCCTTTGGTGGTGTAAATTATTATATATGCCTGAGTGTTAAAGAAAAAAAATGCTAAAGTGAATAGGGCGAAATACTGTTAACTGACGGTACATGGAGGGGATTTTAATCATTGTAATGAAACAAGGTATATGATTTGTTTAATGTAAAACTGATGATTTGACCTGTAAACTTTCACTCAATCCACAATAAAAACCTTAAAA